CGTTCCCGCCCGCAAAACCAGGCGCCGTTCCCCGCCACAGGGCCGCAGCGTTCGCCCACAGGGCCCGCCGTCTCCCAGGCCCGCGCCCCCACAACCAGCGTCCGCCACGGGCCGCGTTTCCCGCCCACAAAGGCCCGTCCGCCCGGGCTTCCCCACAGGGAGCCCGTCCGCCGCCTTCCCGCCCACAGGGCCGCCCGCCCACAGGCCGCTTCCCGCCCACAGGGCCCCGCCGTTCACCGCCCACAGGGCCCGCGTTCCGCCCACAGGGCCGCCGTTCCCGGCCCACAAGCCCCCCGTTCCCGCCCACAAGGGCCCCGGGGCCGGTGCCGCGGCATCGAGACCCAGCCAGGCACCCTGTAGCTGCCCGCGAGAGCGGTAGGACCGGCTGCTTGTGGACGCCCTCCGTGCCTGTCCCAGCAACGAACGCCCTGAGTCCAGAGGTGCACGGCTGCCGCCGCACTTAACTCCCGGAGACTTTCCTCAATTCAGGGCTCAGCCGCCCTCTCTCACATGACTCTCTAAGACCATGTCTAGCTCCTTCTAGCGTGTGTTGTGCGTCGGCCGTGGCCGTGGGGAGGGACAGGATCGGGCACTCTAAAGAAAGAAAGTGGCCAGGCCGGCGGTGGCTCACGGCCTTCATACCAGCACTCGGAGACCCGAGCGGGAGGATCGCTGGAGGTCAGGAAGTTTGACACAGCCCTGAGCAAGAGCGAGACCCCCGTCTCTAACTGATAAATAGAAGAAATTAATTGGACAACTAACACATAAAGAAAATTTAGGGGGCGTGGTGGCGCTGCCTGTAGTCGCAGCTACCGGGGAGCTGAGGCAGGGAAGGATCGCTTGCAGGCCCAGGAGGTCTTGAGGTTGCTGTGCAGGCGAGCTGACGGCACTCGGTGACCGGGCAAACACAATTAGATATCTGTCTCAAAAAAAAGAAAAAAACGAAGAAGAGAAAGAAGCGAAGGGGCCTGTGGCTTTCGACGGCGTGTGCTCCCTGCGTGTTCCAGGAAGTGCGAAACGTGTCGGAACCGAGCGCGCCCGAGTGGGCGAGCCGGCGGGAGCCCGGAGGGCGCGCCGCGTGTTGGTGGCCGGCGGAGGCCGCGAGGGCGCCCGGGGTGGTGGGCGGGGAGCTTCAACTCAGCGCGGCGCGCCGCCTTCCACGGCAGGCCAGGGCGCTCGGAGCCAGGCTTGCAGGCAAGAGGCAGCCCGAGGCCCGGCGCCAAGACCAGCGTTGCGCGCTCGCCCTGCGGCCTTCGCCGCCGGCGCTTTCGCCCAGCACGGAAAGGCCCGCGTACTGCAGAGAAACCGAGGGAGAAACCTGCGCCGCCCCAGTGGTGAGTCAGGGAGAAACAGGCTCCGGGAGGCTGAGACGTGGCATTCCAAGGAATTCCATTCTATCAAGCTGGTTTTCTCTGCAATGCCACCTGCTATAAACATATGTTTTTTATTTTTAGCTTTTTTAGTGTACAATTCCAGTGTTTCTTAGTACCGTCTCTAATCCGCGTGGCCGTCACCCAGGCCCGACTCCGGAACTTCTCAACACCACCGCCAAAAAAGAAACCCCAACACCCTGAGTAGGAGGATGGATGGGAGGATGGACGGGAGGACGGACAGGAGGATGGGTGATGGATGCATGAATGGGTGGACTGCACCAGGTGCCCTTATTGGCCGGTGGGTTCTTCCTGGGAGCTGCGTGCCCCTCACTGCCACGTGCCACAGCAGCTCCCAGCCTCGAGCACCACCCCCTACCCCCTTGACTTGGCGCCATCCCAGCCACCCCCCCCAGGGGTCTTATATTTAGCATCCTAGGGCTTATTTTCAGGGGATGTGTTATTTTTTTTTAACTATGGTACAACCATCTATACTGATTCAAATAGAGTGAAGTCGTCTTCTTCTGGAACATCATCCTCACTCTCCAAACCCCGAGTCCCATCCTGAATGTCTTGCGACTCTGTTTCCTTTAGAGCCACCGGCCCCGATCTCTCCTGCCGAGCACTAAAGCTGTCACGGGGCGGAGGAGAAGGGCTGCTCGTGTTCTTTCCCGCTCCGCGACGACACGCACGGGTTGTGCAGATGCTGCGCAGCCACGCCTGTCACTAGGGCTGATTTTCAGGGTGGGGCTTCTATGGCGCACGTGCTTAGACATCCTGCTAGGGCTTGTTTCATGGGGAGGTCTTATTTTCAGGGAAACACGGTAGATGTTCCTTCTTCCTGGAAGTTTCTTTAACCCCAGGTCTCTCTATCCTCTGGGGGGGGAGGGGTGCCCACAGGCCTGGTCCCCCCCCCAACCGACCCTCTCACTGTAGCAGGAACTGTGAGGCAGGCACCATGCCAACCACCGCCCACCCATGGGTGCTCGGCAGTCTTTGCAGGGTGGGCATGACTGCCCACCACCCTGAGAGTCAGAGAGGGAATCTGAGAGCCGGGCCAGCACTTTACACAAGTGGCTCAAGACTTCCAGGCCATCTGTCCATCCATCAGGTGAGCAGTTGGACAGGGTCTCCTGTGGCCCAGGGACCGGCGGCATCACCAGGGAAACCGGTTAGAAATGCAGAGTCTGGGCCAGGCATGGTGGCTCACACCTGTCATCCCAGCACTCTGGGGGAGGCAAGGCCTGGGGAGGACTCACTTGCAGGGGTCAGGAGGTCCTTGAGACCAGCACCCTGACAAGAGACCAAGACCCTGGTCGTCTGCACCACTAATAACAAAGGCCAAAACTCTAATGGCCAACCTGCAACTACACAGATTATATAGGGAAAAAATCCAGGCACCGGGGGGCGCTGGGTGGGCCTCCACGCCTGATCATCCTAGGCTCTGGCGGGGGAGGCCGAGAGGGACGGATTAGCTCAACGCTCAGGGAGTTCAAAAACCAGGCCTGACGGCCCAGGAGCGAGACCCCCGGTCATCCTACCTTACCCTAAAATAGAAAGACATTACGCTGGCAACCTAGACTCCACTCATATCACTAAAAACAACCACATTCAGCCGGGCCATAGGTGGCGCATGCTGTTAGCTCCCAGCTACCCGGCGAGGCTGAGCAGAGGATCACTCGAGAGCCCAGGGAGTGAGCTGCTGTGAGCCCAGGCTGACGCACGGTCACCTCACTCTAGCCTGGGCCAACAACACGTGAGGACTCTGTCTTCAACACAACAAAAAAACAAAACCAATCAGAAGCCGGGCCATCCGGTGGCGCATGCCTCGTAGGCTCCAGCTACTCGGCGAGGCTGAGGCAGGAGGATCGCTTAAGCCCAGGAGTTGGAGGTTGCTGTGAGCTAGGCTGACGCCACGGCACTCACTCTAGCCCGGGCAACAGAGTGAGACTCTGTCTCCCAAAAAAAGAAAAGAAATGCAGAGTCTTGGGCCTCACCCCCAGACCTGCAGGGCCAGAGCCCCGGGGGCGGGGGACCCAGAAGGTTCCGGAAAGTGGGCGGGCGCCGTGAGCGGAGCATCCCAAGACCCTCCCCTTCCCGCCCCTGCAGGTGGATTTCGAGGACGTGATCGCGGAGCCCGTGGGCACCTACAGCTTCGACGGCGTGTGGAAGGCGAGCTACACCACCTTCACCGTGTCCAAGTACTGGTGCTACCGCCTGCTGTCCACGCTGCTGGGCGTGCCGCTGGCGCTGCTCTGGGGCTTCCTGTTCGCCTGCATCTCCTTCGGCCACATCTGGGCAGTGGTGCCCTGCGTCAAGAGCTACCTGATCGGGGTCCAGTGCGCCAGCCACGTGTACTCGCTCTGCGTGCGCACCTTCTGCAACCCGCTCTTCGCTGCCCTGGGCCAGGCGTGCGGCAGCATCAAGGTCCTGCTGCGCAAGGAAGTCTGAGGCGGGGACGGCGGGGGCGGCGGGCCAGGCTGGGCACCCCCACCCCCGCCCCGCCCAGCCACCGCACCATAGGGGCGCCAGGGAGCTCAGCCCCTTTAGGGACTACTCGCCCCCCCCCAAGAAGGGCGCACACCTGGTCTCTCGCCTGCAATCCTGGGACTCTGGGAGGCCTAGGCGGAGGATCGCTCGAGGTCAGGATTCGAGATCAGCCTGAACAAGAGCGAGACCCGTCTCTACTAAAAATTGAAAGAAATTAATTGGCCAACTAAAAATATATAGAGAAAAAACTAGCGGGGCATGGTGGCGCATGCCTGTTAGTCAGTACTCGGGGGCTGGGCGGAGATCGCTTGAGCCAGAGTTGAGGTTGCTGTTAGCGAGGCCTGACGCACGGCACTCTAGCCGGGTGGTGAACTCTGTCTCAGACAGACTCAACAGCCAGCCCGAGCGCGCCACGGGCCGCGGGAGGAGAGTGCCACAGGGCAGCCGCTGACGTCTTCCGGCCTGCACGACAGCGTCCCGCCCGCCCCCACGCCGCCCCCCACGCCCACGCCCCGCCCCACGCCCCCAGGAAGCCCCCGGGACTCGCGTCGGGAGTGAACAAGCTCCTAATAAAGGTTCTGGGCGTGTCGTGCGTTCGTGTGTCTGTGAGGCGGCGCGGTCCCCCTGCTCCCCCCCTCGACTCGACGCCGGCCGGTCCCGTGTTCCCTCCGTAGACCCAAGGGGACGCCGCGCGCGCCCCGCTGCTCCCCCGGTGACCCGAGGGACGCCGCCTCCCGCTGCCTCCCCGCCCGACCCAGCGCCGGCCGCGTCCCGCCCCCGGTCGACCAGGGACGCCGGCGCGCGTCACCGCTGCCCCCTCTCACCGAGGGACGGCGGCGCGCGTCCCCGCTGCCCCCCCGGTCGATCCCAGGGACGGCCGGCGCGCGCCCCGCTGCTCCCCACGGCGACCCAGGACGCGGCGCGCTCCCCGCTGGCCCCGCCCGACCAGGACGGCCGGCGCGCGTCCCCGCGCTCCCCGGCGACCCAGGACGGCGCGGCGCGCTCCCGCTGCTCCCCCACGTCGACCCCAGGACGGCCGGCGCGGCGTCCCCGCTGCTCCCCGCCTCAACCCCAGGGACGGCGGCGCGCGTTCCCCGCTGCTCCCCCCTCGTCACCCAGACGCCGGCGCGGCTCCCCGTGTCCCATCCGTCGACCCAGGGACGGCGGCGCGTCCCCGCTGCCCCCCCCCGCGACCCAGGGACGGCGGCGCGCGTCCCCGTGGCCCCCGCCCCGACCCGAGGACGCGGCGCGCGTCCCGCTGCCCCCGCCCCGACCAGGACGCCGCGCGCGTCCCGCTGCTCCCCTCCGTCGACCCAGGACGGGGCGCCCCCGCTGCTCCCCCCCCCCTCGACCCAGGGCGCCGGCGCCGCCCCGTGCTCCCGTCGACCCAGACGGCCGCGCGCGTCCCCGGCTGCTCCCCCGTCAACCAGGACGGCCGCGCGCGTCCCCGTGCGCCCCCCCCCCCGCGACCCAAGGGGGGGAGACGGCCGGCCGCGTCCCCGCTTCCCCCGGTCGACAGGACGGCCGGCGCGCGCCCGCTGTCCCGCCCTGACCCAGGACGGCCGGCCGGTCCCCGCTGCTCCCGCCTCGACCAGGTACGGCGCCGCGTCCCGCGCCCCCTCCGTCGACCCAGGACGGCGCGTGTCTTCCGCGGGTTCGCTGTTTTGGACTCTGCCCACCCACGGCCCCTGGAGCAGTCCAAGCGAGATCTGTCGCTCCGCCAGCCGACAATCTCTCTCTTTTT